CCTGAACGCCTCTTTGGTGTTTACATTTCACGGAAACCCAACCCAAATGACTTACGAACACATTTTGGCTTTATAGAACTTATTGTATTTATTTGTAGGACCGTTTGCGTAAACATTTTTGTTATTTTCGGATTAAATTTCACAATAAATTTTTACGTCTATCTGAACATCTATTAACTGAAATAATTTTAGTTTAAGTGTCAAACCAACAGTAAATCCATTCTATTGGAATACTGTTTTGACCAATTTACTTTCATACTTCTACTTGCACAGTAAAATATTCGTTGTCGCAATAATCTAAAATAGTCGTAACTTCGTGGAATAACCTTATAGTTAGTTTTTGTCAGAATAAAAATTTGAGAAAAGTCCATTGATATGTCTTTGTTGAATTACCCGAATGAGTCTAACAACTAATTAGAAAAAGTTACAATAACACATAATAATTAAACTAATACTTGTAGCACAATTACCTAAGAAAATTTAACTGATATTGTTGGGAAGTTTACCTTTACTTGCTGTTGCGATGTGTATTTATTTATGATATCAATGTTCCAACTTTTGAAGACTATGACCAAAAAAAACTGCAGAACAATAGTAACAGTTTACTAGAAACTATAGAAAAAGGTCAGAGAAAAACTATGGTAACTATAAGAGAAAAAAATGTACTAGAATAAGATCTAGAAATCTTAAGCGCTGGGCCTTTAATAATCGAAAACAAACAAAGTTAATACCAACAAAAGGGATAAAAACACCGAAAGACTGCTTCAAGAAATGCATTTATAAATGTGCCAAAAATAGAAACAAATAAGGCAGGAAAAGAGAAAGAGAATAAGAAAGGGAATATAGCAAATACTCTAAATAAACTAAAACCTGTAAATTTTTCTTTATTTTAGGTAATAACAAAATACAGGTTTGCAAACAGTTTTACTGCGGAACACTAGTTATAAGTAAAAAAGCTGTGATTTGACTTACACAATGTATTGACATGTCCAAAGGAGACGTCAAAAATTTCTTTTATATAAGTAAGCTAAAGGAATATAACATGACATCGCACCTTTCCATAAACCGAACTATTTATTGCGCCATATGGTCAAAGGCAATGGATGGTCGGGCCGGGATTTTATAAGTTTGGCTCTCGCACATACTTTAAAAGCTAATGCCAACTTAAAAAAAATTCAAATGAGGGTTTTAGTACCTGGACACTTCTGCATACAAGGGCTCGATTTAGTTTATCGGTGCAACTGAACGCAGTTTAAAAAAATCTGAATAATTTTCTCCCCTTTCGGTATTAAGAATCCTTTTGAAAGTAAATACAAGAAAGCTTTACACCATAATTCAAATGCCAAAAACAAAATTTTCTAAATTTTTTACCTATTCATAAAAACTAAATTAAACTGCAGTTTTATTTTCAAAGGTAGTTTTTTTACAATTTACTACAGATTTTTAGGACATCTGTTTCAGAACCACTTTTAAGAACGTGAATACAAATTTATCAGTTTAGTTGTGTTAGTTGTTGTGATCTTTAAGCAGCTATTTAGCGGTTTAATAAAAAAACAGCAAATACACTAGATGGTCAGAACAACGCCTTAGCAGAACAATACCGCATGCGAGGAACGACTTTTAATATCTTTATATTTGGGTATATCTAGGTCCAATTAAGCTGACAAATCGCCTGAACGAAGTCCAAAATGTAAGATATAATTAGATAGACAGTTTGTCGACGACTTCATAAAGCGAATATATTATTCAGAAGACCAGTCCTATGTCTACAGACATACTTGGAATACCGCAGAACTTGACTGGCTTTAGCAAGGGAACACGAAAAATTGAATTGCTCAGATTGGAGTAATGTTTTATTTTTTGATGAGTCCAGGTTTTGCTTGAGGGTCACAAAAAAATCTAAAGAAGACAAGAAACACAATTTACCCAATGCAATATAGCCAATAGTGTACCCTATCGAGGAGACTCCGCTGTGGTTTGAGCTGGTAAAAGTTCCGATTCCCTTAATGACTTGGTTCTTGTGGATGAAGGTTTTATGACAAGAACAAGGTATATAACAACCATTTTAGACGAGAATGTGATACCTTTTACGCCATTTATAATTTTATTTGTATAACCGATAACGCACGTCTCCACCGTGCTGATATCCTAAAAATGATAAGAAAACGTTGGGATTGTCTTTTGAATTGTGCCAGCCTCTAATTCTTATCTTCTTTCAATCAAACATCTATCAAACATCTAATCGAACACTGGTCAGACGAATTCAACTTCAGCCAGAAAATTTGACTCAGCCAAGTGTAGTTCTTTAGACAATATGGGATACATTGGACAAACTTCATGTTACGATTTAATTATTAACATGCTAAGATTTAGGCAGACGATTATAAGTACCCAAGGAAAATATATAATGTATTGTCCTAAAGTTTTGGGAAAAATTTCACCTGGTCTGATTAAGAAGCAAAATGCATTTAACAAAGAAGGCCATGGAATTAAAATGTCATTAGTTATTTACATTTAATAAACAAAGCAGAATATTTTGGTTTGTGCTCTGCAAAATGTCTTATAACATTGATATTCGCCGAGGTGTTTATATTATGGTTGGGCGAATGTCGAAACGAGATATTGTTAATATTTATCGAGATTAAAACAGGAGCAAATCGACAATTTATCGTACAATCAGAGAATGTGAAAAAGGGATACCATAGGTTGACTTGCGTAAAATTGGCCGACCGCTGATTTTGAACCATATAAAAAAAGCAAGACTGATTGCACTCGCCTTAACGCGCGGCAACATCTCGGAATTCTCTATAATTTATTCTCTGTGTATTTTGGAGCTTTCCTTCTTTTCCGGTAAATAATATTATTACTCGATAGTGTCCTGTATACTGTAGTCTTTCCAGTATGAAATCTTTTGGCCAGTTTTCGCTGTGAGACCCCAATTTTGTTCTTAACTGCTTCAATCAGTCTTGCTTCCCTTATATGGTTCAAAATCCGCGGTCGGCCACTTTTACGCAAGTTAACACGTGATATCCCTTCTTCACATTCTCTGATTGTGCGATAAATTATCGATGTGCTGTTACACGCACTGTTTTGTCTTTTAAAACAAATTTGAAGACTAACCGAAATAATTCATATTTTGTCAAAGCGACATGACAATCCTTTGACTAGATCAGGATTGAAATTTGCACTACTTACTTGTATTTTAAACAAGCTAAAAACATAATACTTGGGTAATACCTTAAGATAAACCCAACATGAGTGAGAAAAAAATATATTCACTCGAAATGACAACAAAGTCCCTTCTCCATCGAAGTGAACTAGAGGAGATGAAATGCCGTCGACCGTATAAAAGAGCAGCCACTGCAAGATAAAGCAAAGTTATGTTGGAGTATTGATCTGACAACAACTCTACTGGCCCTAGGGCATTGACTAAAGGCCAACTGCTTCTGCTAGAGTATTGATCTAGTGGCAGTTCCGTACCCAGTCTTCAAGTATTCATCTGAGACATATCTGTTATCATCTGTAGTAAGTACTGATTGAACACCGTCCGTTTCCCGCTGGGCCGAAAGTAGATTGGCTCGTTTCATGTCAATTTCTTCGACTCGTGCCCTACTGCTAACGCAACATAATTGCTATTCAGATTTTATATCAATAATTTTATTTTATTATTCTCAGATATAAAACAGTGGGATATTTCGCCGTCATCGCCAGGATTACTGATTTAGTTGTTATTGTATTATTACATAAGATGCAAGTAGAGGGCAAATGAGAGTTCTAGCCGCACCGTTCGTATACCCCCCACCACCGACCCCCCCACCATTATTATACCTCCCTCCAATGATAAGGTAAGGGGTGAGAGTTCTAGCCGCACCGTCCGTATACCCCCCACTATTGACCCCCACCATTTTGTATACCCCCCACCACACCTCATACCCCCCACCACTGACGAGGTCAACGACCGGTCAAGGTCAAGGGGGCAACGACCGGTAAATGGGTCAAAAACCGGTCCAGGGGGTCGATGAACGGTCAAGGGGTCAACGACCAGTCAAGGGGTCAATAGCCGGTCAAGGGGTCAACGACCATTAAAGGGGTCAAAGACCGGTTAGGGGGTCAATGGACGGTCAGGGGGTCAATGAACGGTCAGGGTGTAAATAACCGGTCAATTGGTTCAATGCCTGTTACACACGAACGATTAAAATATACATTACCAGTGAAAGGTATTTAGAAACAATAGTAATAGATAACGTTGTTTTCATAAGGTAAAAAACAAAAAGTAAATATTCCATATTTATTTTATGTAATACATTTATGACATTGGTATTTGTATGGTAGGTAAGTGTTAAATAGCGAGATTGGATAGTGCTCCAAACAAGGTAGCTTCATTTGGACGACTTCATTACGTCGAATATGTGGTGGAAGTTCATTCCATTTATCCAATAGATCAGACCCATCAACATGATTCAGAAGGTACCACGCCGGAAATCGTTCTAACTCTTGTTTGTTAAATAAACAAAAATTTTTACGGCGAAGATAATGATCCGTTATCACTTGTTCTAATAAAGGATCGTGTTGAATAAGATTTAGAATACAAATATAGCAGTCGCTGACGGAAGGTGGGTACATCACTCCATCAAAGGTGGAAGGCCAATGATTAAAACAGCGAGTAATTTTCGTTAGAATATGAGGATCATTTTTCACTTCATCTGGCAGTTTATGTTCAATATCTCGTAACTCTGACGCTTTCATATACCGGAGATATTGTAATGGAAAATCTCGTAATTCTTCGAAAGAAAATGCGCTCAATGGAACAGCAGGAAAGTGTTTACTGTAAGAAGTCATGTTGAATACTGTTTGATTACATGTAAAATATTACCGCAAGAATAACTGGTTATACCCCCCACTCACAGATACCTCCCTCTTACTGATAACCCACTGAGACCACCCACTTACTAGACATAAATGATATAAGGTGAAGTGACCTGTGTATCGAGTTAGTAAACATGTCTCAATACGACTTTAGTGATAACACACCCGTTCAAAAATATCGGGTAGAGAATAGAAAAGATGTAATAATAGGAGAAAAAAGTTTTCAGTTAAACAGATCGAAAAGCAAATTTGTGTCTATTGGGTTAAAGTACGGTGCGGAGTGTACACCAGTGATATCACTATATGGAAATCAAGGACAACGAGTAGTATTCACGGAAGAAGATTGGAAAGAATTTTTATACTACCAAGGAGTAATTACTAATTATCTGTACACGGTAGAAAGCAGTGAGTCTATAAGAAGAAAAAGCTATAGTATAGAATTTGAAAAGGTACTGGAAGCGAAAGTAATAAAGATATCACAAAGTAACTCCTACATTTATTTAGGGTATGAAACCATCTGTAAATTATGGGAGGTGTTACCGCTTATACAACATCATATTAGCCATTTGAAACAAGGAAATTTCTCGGAATATTTAAAGAGTATATATCCACGATTACAAAACAACAAAGGTGATTTTTATGAAAACGTGTTAAGAAGTGTCAACGCAAACACTCAAGTTTGCTTTGAAGATATAAGTAATATTTTGGAATTGGTGTACGTGTATCCAGAAGCATTAAAAGATGTCTGCACAAACGGGAAAAAGAGTAACTTTTAATGATAATCTTAACAAAACACATGTTCTACGAGTTTGGAACCACGCATATCGTCAAGCACGACAAAGGTACTGGGAAATATTTGTAATAGATTCAATAAGGTTTAAAAAACGAATCGAAGAAACTTCGAAAATATTATCTCCGATTTTAAATATAAATCATAGAATGTTTGTATACAATAGTAGGTTTAAATAAATATTAAATCACAAAAGTTTTTTATTTTAAAAATTTATTAAATAAAAAATGTTTAACATATTTTATAATTACATTTAAAAGTAAAAAAGTAACACAAATAACTAAATACCAGGATAAACAAATATTTGATAGATATTCCCCACCAACTTGAGTAGCACCAGAAGAGATGTAGAGCTGACGCCATTCTGTTTCATCATTAAGGTAATTGGGAAAAGGTAATCGTAGTTTGTATACTGTACTGTTATATGGTATATAAGCGAATCTAAGATCTACTCCATTTAGCTTATAAAGACTCATGTTAGTCCACTGCGATGGCCAACTATCATTTTTTATTCCATTTCTATCAAAACATATATGAATATCGTTTACAGCATAAGGTTGGTAAATATAAAGTACTCCCTGCAAAACAGCATGTAAAATAAGTAGACCTGCTCCAGGCATTATTTTATCGCGAACTAAATTCTGTTAGATAAATTTTCTATATTTATACAACATTATTTTTACTAATCCACGAGTTGTGACTTTTATCTAATCCCAACCATTTAACATAAACTTGGTTAGCTTTGCGTTTTAATATCCGTTCCACAAGATAGACGTCTGAAAATTTAACTTTTTGAAGTTCTTCGGTGTAAAATGCCCCATTAATTTCCTCTTGTTTAGAATCCTCGAGTAAGTAAGTAGTTGGATTGGTTAACTGAACTTTTTTAATCTTAAATATTTCAGTACTCCAAGATGGTGTATATCCTTTAGCAAATGCGTGGCGATATTTACTTATACGAACATAATCCCCTCTTTGAAATTTTGGTTTACGTTTATCAACGGTTTTTAACCAGTTGTAAGCAATTATCTGCTTTGCATTTCGATTAGTTACTTTACTTGGAATGACACCCGTAGTTGAATGTTTGGTGTTATTGTACTGTTCAACGATAGATGGTAGTATGTTAACCCATTTATAAGAACCTTGCAAACTAAATTGTTTCCACAACTTTGACTTAAGAGTTCGTATCACACGTTCAGCAATACTTGCTTTTAAATTAGAATATGTGCTGTAATGATTTATACCATAAGATGACATTAGGTTTTTAAAGTGGGAATTATAAAATTCAGTCCCATTATCTGTTTGTAAATGTTTAGGAATTTTAGGCATTTGAGATAAAATTTTCTTCATACAATTGGTAACTTCAGACCCCGTTTTTCTTTTAATCGGTGACGCCCAAACATATTTACTAAATGCATTTATGACAATAAGAATATAGTTATATCCGCTGTTGTATTTAACAAAAGGAGTCATAACAGCTAAATCTGCTTGACACAAATCATGCAAACCTTTAATAATAACATGCCTCCGTTTAAAGTTTTTTTTTGCGGGTTTATGAAGTTCATTAACGACTTGTTCTTTGGGGTTAGACATTTTTTTCTAGTGGACACTGAAGAGTAATATGGACAAAAACGTTAGGATTCGTATCAAGTTTAAACGAAAGTTTATCACCTTTCTTTACATGTAAACCAGGTAATTCATGATATTTATACTCTATCGAATTTATTAAAACTAATCCATTAAAACTGTAATGTTGTACTGTTTCAATTTTAGCGTTTACAGAAAATACATACGACGTCCCTCCATGATCCAACACATAAAAGTCCTTGTTTAAACTTGTTTTTTCTTCTCCTTTTAAAGCTATTATACATTTGGTGTGGTAAGAAGATGGATCACAAATAAAATATAGTGGATTTGTAGAATTACCGTGAGATTTTAAATCAGTTAGAAAATGGTTGCCAAATTTATTAATGGGCATTATTATTGAATTATACCACCTTCTCGAAGTTCCTCGATAATGGAAATGATTTCGTTACCGTGACCGTTATTTCCCGCAGATTGTGATGCTAGAAGTAGTCGAAGTCTATCTAATATCTCATTAAAATTGTCAAAGTATTTATACTCAGTTGGTTTCGTAGTGTATTGTTTTGTTAGTAAAGCCCCACCTTTTTTACCAGTAAATTGTTTGGCTCGATTTCTAGTTGTCGCACCAAGACTTGAAGGTAAAGAAGTTAATCTTTGTCTGTTAGGTTGGGGTCTAGTTTCCAATACTGGCTTAATCATAAAATAATATTTATCTTTTATTTTAGATTCCATTTTTCTAATTGGTAATTCAGGATTATTGTTTCTATGAAGAGCATTGGTTCGTCGTAAAATATCCAAGTATTCGTTAACATCCCCCTGTTTAAAACTAACGGGATTAGCCTTAAACATTAATTCATAGAGACCAGGTGTCCCTATATACTTAACCCCTTTTATAATCATATCTGATCCGACAAAGTCGATATTTGAATCACCGATTGAAAATTTTTCGTTGGCCAAATCATGATACACTCCTAATGTATGATCAAATTCACCTTTTGTATCCTCTATATTAGCTTTAACGTACACACGAGGTAAAGGTTCAGTAAATTGCTCATAATATGCACCCATTACGTCAGGATTATTAACCATATTGTTAAACTCTAATACAGTTTCTTCAAAATATCGATTTATATCTTCACTACTATTACCCCTTACAGGTTGTGATGTAAAGGTATCTTCTGCACTATTTTCTCCAAGTCGTGATTCAAATGTTTCTTCGATCCCGCTAGGTGGGATAAAAGAAAGTTCTCCAAAGTTGGCAAGTGTTTTAGATGAAGGAGAACGTTTATTTGGTGATGAAGCCGCAAGTTGATATAAACTAAGATTTGGTGTGCTTAATCGATGAGGATTAGACTTGGGAGATCCTAATTTAGGTGATTTAGGTAGTTTAAGTGGGACAGATTCTTGTTTTATATTACTTGTAGGTTCTTGTTTTACATTACTTGTAGGTTCTAATTTTAACAACAACTCCTTGAGAGGTTTTGTTATGGGTTGATAATTTTTTTCTAACTGACTCTGAGACTTGATAATATCACTTTTTAAACTACGATATTTTCGTTTTAATGCTTGGCGGGTTTTTAACAGTTGTTTAGCGATTCGAGTATCCATTTTTACTAACACTAAAAAGGTGTACTTCTTCTTTTATATATGTACAAATGTATCAAACCCTTTGCGATATTTTCCTGAAGATAACAAACAATCCTTATCAATCACTACAAATCCATATTTATCTTTCCAACAAAAAGAACAAAAATCTTTAAATTGTTGAAAACTCATATCAATATTGACATGGTCGTCATATATGTGTTTTAAATTCGTCATATCTTGTTGAAAAATCACTAAAAGATTGGCATTATCCCGCACTAACTGTTTTGGTATAGCGCTATAAGTTTGACACAAGTAAAAACAGTCGGTAAATTTATGTCTACCAAAACAAAAATAACTTTAAATAAGTTTTTGATCACACGAAGCAACATCATCAAAGATTATTATTGAATGATTTTTAATATCTTCTGGAGTAGGTATGTTTGCAGAATCACCATATTCTTCATACCCAATCTCAGACATCGGTTTAATTAAGTTACGTAGGTATATATATTTTGGTTGGTGAAGTGATTTAAAATAAACATATATGTTTTGAAATCTTAAACCATTAGGATGCTCAATCAACGATAATAATGTATTAGTCTTACCACATCCACTTGGTCCAATAATAAGACACCGTTTTGAATCACCACCAAATAAATTACCGTGTTTTTTTATTTTATTATCTTGTGCAACTATATCATGGTTTGTAATAGGTAGCGACAGTTGTTGTTTTTCAATCTTCATTGTATCTGGGAATGATGTGAGTATATATAGGGTATCAGATTATATATAAAAGAAAGTATAATGAGGCGAAAAAGGATTAGTAGACATCGAACAGTTGAAAGAAGAGGTTGCGGATTATTAAATTCCGTCATCAATACACTACCAGTCGAGGTACACATTCCAGGTTATTCGTATTGTGGACCGGGGACTAAGCTAGAAAAAAGACACACTTGGTAATTCAGGAATAAATTTATTAGATAAAGCCTGTAAAGAACACGACATCGCATATTCCCTACATAAAGAACTTAGTAAAAGGCACGAAGCTGATAAAATATTAGAGAACAAAGCTTGGGATCGAGTAAAATCCAAGGACGCTACATTTGGTGAAAAAGCAGCAGCTTGGTTAGTTACAACGACGATGAAGGGTAAACGTAAATTGGGGATGAAGTTACGTAAGATTAGACGTCGGTTAAATAAAAAAGGTGGATCCCTTAAAAGAAAAAGAATAAATTTGAAAAAACGTATTATTAAAACCCCCAAAAAAGGAGGTTTTCTACCTTTATTATTACCGTTAATCGGAGCTTTAAGTGCAATTGGAGGGGGTACTGCATCAATTATGAAGGTTATTAACGACTCAAAAACCAACCGTGAACAAATAGCTGAACAGAAACGTCACAATCTTGCTATGGAAAAAGGAGGTAAGGGGTTATATTTGAAACCTGCTAAAGGGTATGGGATGTATTTAAAACCGTATTCAAAAAACTAATATTTCCTCATCACCCACTAACAGATGTCGATATAAGAAAATACGCAAAATTATTAAAAATCCCATATTTTAGAGACGTATTCATGAGAGATACCTTACCAAGTAAAATTCAAAAATATGAAAGCGGTGTTATAAATATGGATTTAAATAAAGGTAAAGGCACGCACTGGACAGCTTATACGAAAGAGAACAACAATATAATATATTTTGATTCTTATGGTGATTTATCACCACCACGTAATGTAATCAAATACTTTAAAACTGGTGGCCCTGTAAATATAAATTATAATTATAAAAGGTTCCAACATCATTCTTACA